GTGCACATTTCTTTTTCCGCAGATTGCACATTAGCAGAACGGTTTTCTTCATTCAGATGCATGAATGAATGCGCAATATATTTAACTATGGAGCACAATTTGTCAAACATATTGCACAAAATCAACAGCTGCATCTGGCGTACTGAACAGTTTTGGCACTTTGTTCGGATACACAATATGTCACACATCCATAAAGTCGGCTAAAAGGTGAAAGCGGAAATTAAAGCTTTAGTCGACTCCGCAATCAGCTGTTGGACCATTTTTGCAAATATGATTGCCAATATAAATATATCACAGAAAGTTAATAGCTAAACTAACGAATTATTTAAGGAGTTACTAGATTTAACGGCAACTGGTTTTGGCCGACACGGAATGTGAGCCACCCCATACTTGTATGGTAGAAATCTAATCTTTACCTGCTGAGTTAGACGTGTATGTTTTAGGAAACTAATCCTGCCAGGATCAAGGGGCTCTTTGTGCACACCTCTTGAGGGACACCACACACATAGTTTACCAACGCGACACAAAACAATGTATTGGTATTTCCCCAAATAGCAAATAGCAAACATTTTCCGTAATACTTTGCCTGTTGATTCCTTATGTTTTATCAGTGACACGTCAATATCTTTAGTAGTTCTAAACTCAGCGAACAAGCCAACGACCAATATCTACCTTTCGTTCTAGCTCCGTTTTCAAGAATCACTAACGCTATTCTTTCGTTACAGTACCTAGGCGGGTCATTGGATATATTCTCCGCTCCTTGTATAATTTTTAGAAAAATGCCCTCCGCCAATTTGATGAATACTGGGTTATGCATAAAAACTACATAGCGATTATAAAACGTGTCTGATCAACACATTTAGAACCACAAATCTGACAAAGTTTTTTGCTGACACAACATCTTCTGACTATTTTGTTGTTCACTTTGTTTGACGGTGAATTTGGTTTATTAAGGGTTACGTTTCAGCTGCCTTGCTTGCCAGAGATTACCCGGAAGTACTGCACCGTTGCGAGATCGTTTGCATCTCTCTAATATCTTCAGTGTGCGCGCTGGTTAACCGGCTGCATAGTCGAGTAATTTTTGCGCTCAGTTTCTGCATATCCTGGTACTTAATGACAAAGATCGTCACACCATACAGACCACATACTTCGACAACATGGTTGACAGCTATACAAGTGGTTTGGTTAAAAACAAAGGCCACACACGGAGATATTAGCGGTGGTTGTTTGTTTAGCAATGTGAAAAACCCCAAATATCTAGTTCACAAAACTATTTATTTTTTAAGAACACATAATAGTGACTATATCTACAAGATACATATTAATTCTACAAAACACAACGTGGTCACGGCGGTCCCGTACAAAATCAAATGCACATAGTAGCGCAAATATCACAGTAGCAAGTTAAAACATGCACACCAAACCCATCAGTTTTCTATTTTGCTATTCAAGGTACCCATTTCAATACGTAACCTAGAAAGAAGCACAAAGTTGTAACTAACCGTGATATGTAAATTGATGCCTTCCACGTATCAAACGATTTTCAGACAGCACATCAACGTTTTAGATAGAAAGTTAAATGGAACAGGCAAACCTGACCCTGGAGGCTCTAGGTGAATATGTTGTATGAAACGGCCGGTTTCCCATTCAGGCTTTTTATCAGCAAACGGCAGGGGTGAGGTAACGACCTTGATTCCTTTTGCGAAGAATAATGGTTTGAATACACAGGGGAACGGCACTGACATTTCGATCTCAAAGAGCAGAGATAGATAATCGTGGAAATCTATGCATTTAACTAGATAAGTTGGCCTTCCTGGGGCAAATGCAATGTTTATGTATTATAACAATCCAAAAGTGGGATAGAACTAATGCGGGTGTCGTAATCAATGATAAAAATTCTTACGCGAACATTGCATTACCCACCTATTCACCGCATTGCCGACATGTTTGGAATAAATGTATAATCACTTTGCCAAATCAAAACGGCTGATTGGCAGAAGGAAAGGAAAAGGGGTGCCCGATTTTTTTAAAGAAACAATATGTTTAGCATGGTGTTATCATGTATTGGAGTGCATCCCTTCGAATGGTTCTGAAGGTTATGGCGTGTGGTTACGGAATTTCTAAAGACTCAATGCATAGTTGTTTCAAGCTACCATATTTACGCTCATTTAAAATTGCGTTCAGTAATGGGTACTCCGCACTACACAAGCGCGCAAAGTTGACAGTTTGTATACTGGGTGAGATTTCCGTGCAGAATGACGAATAAAAGAGAGCAATTACTTCGGACGTTGAACACGTTGCTATGCTGGAGCTCAAAACAGAAATTTACCGCCCGGAACCTCAACCTATTTAGAAAAGTGGCTGTCGTTTTATCCCGCCGTTTGACATCGTGGAACATGTTTATTCCCAACAAGCAGATGCGTGCCGTATATCATAGTGAACTGGCTGTAGGCATCTCGGAATTCAAGTTTTATCAGCTTGTGTCCACACAAACTCTCAGCCTGTGTCCTGTGTCCGAATGTTATGTGCATTGCCTTAGAAGCCTTCTCCCGAAAATGGAGCTGTATGGCGTTCCACGCATTAATTTACCAATCCTATTTTTACTGTTATCACGTAATGGATCGCCACAATTTGCGGTGCGTTTTATCATTGGATATATTCTCCGCTTCACGGAAACCAGGGCACACTGCGAGTTCTTTTACTACGGTCAATGGAAAACAATCTGTCATGTACTGTGTGCACTTCCACGCAAATGAAATTTTCCGGACAACTTTCCGGAAATCAAAGAGCAATTAGAGTGGCGCGTGATTTGCAGTAATAAAAAACTCGACCATTACATTCGGCGTTAGAACAGATTGATAGACGAGGCTACCACAATGCAGAAAGAAAATACTCCAGGTGGTCCATAGGTCCTTCTTTTCGCGGGTCATTGACCACAAATAGATTCAGTACATCAAGGAGAAATGTAAAAAGAAGTGTATCTTCTACACGGAGATATTTACTTCGTATTGGCAAACTCAAATGTGCACGTGTTTTATTTCTCAGTTCGGACAAATCTAACCGCACAATCGCGCAGCCCCTCGTATCTGTAGCCCGATCTGTTTGTTTGAACTTTTGTTTGCATGCTAAACAAACCTTGTTATCAGCTTTCATTAACCTGGTCAGTGAACCTTGGCACCGTAACACTGTTCTTTAGGAATTTTTCTTACTTCACGTGTGATTTAATTATCCTTAAAAGAAGCCATATACAAACGGACACTGTATTCGGTCTCATGGATAACCAGAGTACTACCAGGGAACTCTCCACGCAAAGATGATACGTGGTAAGTCTGACCCACCATGATTAATTTCGTCCTAATATGTTGTAATTCGAATTCTTTATCGTGACCCCAGTGTAACTGGTGGATGGAGTAAATGCCACCGTCGTGCAGCTCGCTAATATTGTATTAGGAATAGGGATCGCCTTAATGCTGGCGCATACAATGGAGACACTGCGGAAGTGTACTCATTTCGGAAAAATAGCGGACATTTAAGCCGTGTTAGGACTCCTCTCCAAGTTTCCTGCGGACACAGTCATTTAGCTTTACAATGAATAAAGCAGAGTTCATGGAAGACAACGCAAAGTTTACAGCAAATAATATTTAACATTGCAAATTATCCAAATGTCTTTCTTGTACAGCAACCACAGAACACTGATGCAGAGCGGCTGATCTGTGTGGCATACAAGTTAAGTAATATCTATCAGTCGGCGAAAGGAGTTCTCCTGTTCTCTCTACAAGAATTAGAAGATTCGCTAAATATATGCAGGCCATCAGATGAAGAAACGAGCGTGAAGTCCCCATAAGATTTTTTTTCTCCTGTTTGAAATACACCGCATCCACTGAACTCAAAATGGTTGGTGACAAGAAAATAACCAAATGGTTCGCAGATATCAGCCGTTGTTAACATGAATAGCAAAATACCGCCTGGGTTTTGTCTTATTTGAGGAGCACTCAGCATGTACTGGAGTGGCCTTTCGGATTTCGTAATAAGGATATTTGACGTCGGATCAATGGAGGTCGTGGATTATGATAACATGCTTGAACGACACTGAAAGCATATACAAGGGTCTTATGTAACCGCAGAATATGGATTGTCACGAGAGAATTGAGCCGACAAAGAATCCAGCAGGTTCCATCCAGTTAACAGTGAATAACATGCTTGAACGACACTGAAAGCATATATAAGGGTCCTATGTAACCGCAGAATATGGACTGTCACGAGAAAATTGAGCCGACAAAGAAACCAGCAGGTTCCATCCACCTAACAGTGAACTGCCGGATTGTTTGTACACACTGGAGCAATTTTTAGAAAGCCCACTCTGGAAGTTCGCCGAATAAACGGTAGCTAACTCATCCTGCATTTTTTAGTGAACTCGCGTCTGTTATGTAATAGGTCAAGCCAACTATAGAAAAGGTAAAATGAAATCGTTCGGTTGGAAACGGACGGGACACCAACATGAAACATGAATGCACACAAATTTATCGCTCCAAATCTCACCATCCAAACAAGGGCTCCCATCTCAAACAAACTTACCTCTGGCGGGGAATCTGTTTCGACCGCGTTTTCCTCATGCATGGCTACGCTAAAAACCGCGCTGCTTGCATTCTTCCAATGGGTTTTATTTGTTCATCATCGAACCAGGCCAATCGACGGTACTAGAATGTGCGGACTTCAACTTATTTTTAAAAAAATACGGTCTGTTCTCGCGCGTGCAAATCGACTATCATAACTGATCGGAAAGAAAACGTTCAAGAAGACAGTATGGATATTTTGCGTATTGCGAACGTGTCCATGGTCGACATGCGGTTTACCAGGCGGCATTCGTTTTGCTCGGTGGATGTGAAAGTTGGATTGGCACTACTGAGAACCCGTTACTCAAAGTGTGATTGCGTCTTTATATTTTCTAGATGCTACGTATTGAGAACAACATAAGTGTTTGTCAACGGATTATCTGGCAGTCAGTCTGGTTCGTGTCTCAGAGCGCTTCGCTTCGCTAAGCAGCGACAAGCTCGCAATCCATTTTTATGGACAAACTCGTTAAGAAATACACCATGGGGAAAAATGAAAAAAAAACTTTTGGACTGTAAAGGAGAGACATAGACATAACATACAGCGCAGCATAAACGGACAGCAATACAAATTAACCACAAAATCCATTTGGTGAATACCCATCCCGGAAAAGGAAACCGAATCGCAGATTTCAATATTCTTCAAAAAGCAACGAGAAGTGGTGTTATTACCCACTCAACCATGCAATGACTGTGACGGAACGATTTCAAGTGAAGAATGATCAGCGGCCAAAATATATATCTTGAACCAGGACAAATGAGAGAGTTTGCGGAAAGAGACAAGCCGGTCCGGCGGAAACAACAAAGTGACAGATCACCGCAATTACAAAGACTTTTTCAAAAACCAGAAATATATTAACGACACCATATGCATGCGACGTGCAATCAGTCCAAGCGCCCTTCGTTACTTTTCGTCCCAAACGACACACTCAAGAGGCCGACATATTTCATTGTAGAAAGTTAAAAGTGATAATTACAGCGCAAAACATCCATGAATAACGTCACTCATGCGTTGCTGAATGCCTTTTAATTCAATGATTGGTTACTACACTGATCCATTGGCACAGGCCATTCACTTGCGTGAAACGCTAGTGATAAAAGTTTCCAAATTTGCCAACGAAAATTTAAAACAGGGATAAAAGTTCACCAGATTTTGAACTCTGAACAGAACCGAATACCAGTGCCACAACATGGCCCAACGAAGTATAGCATATATATGAAACTGAGCATAAAATTCAGCTTACCTGTTTGCCGTTTTCGAGTTGATTACAAGCGACTGTAAATGAAACGAGAGGTGACACTCTTAGTCAGTAAAATGGTATCTATAACGACCCAGATACTCTTGATACAGGTGCTGATACTAAATACTACTGATGAGGCATTCAGTCATTTAGAGAGTTAATCGGAATTTGAGATTCAGCTGAATTCCAGGTGAGTCCTACGTAAAAACAACTATCCATGCAAATGAGGTTAGTTAGCAAACACAATCCGCTTGAGATTCAAGCGGAGCGTGAACTGGACACAACATCCGTGATTTTCTTAATGTGAGAACCCTTGACAGGGCGACCGGAACCGGCATTTGGCAGCATTCTTCTCACGTTATGTTTGAACTATGAGGTGCCACGTTAGGTGGAGCACAAGGTTGACTAACCTCAGGGACTGCACTGCACTTATGGCCTTCGCATGATTACCCGTAGGATTTTTAAGCACCAAACAAAAAACCATTCCGACGTGAACATTGTGCAAGCTTGGTTAAATTTATATCTGTCGCCCAAACGTCGAGCATTTTGCTAAATTTTTGGATACGGAAAAACGACCTGAACATCAGAAGACCAAGGGTGCCAAATATGCCATTGACTGCGTTTTCCCGAAATTTTGAACAAATTTTCCATTACTTTCTGCTGAATTTTGGATGAGTTATCAGCGTGGTAAGAAAGTTTCTACGGGGGGATATACTGGATGCACAAAATACACAAATTCCAAGAGACCACTATGGTTCAATATCCAAAATACTCGCCCCCCGACTAAGAGGCATCATAAAATGAAGTAGTCATATTTGGAATGAGTTACTTTTAAGGAGGATACGGTATTAGGAAGACTGGTATGACGACTATATAGATAAGGGGCGATGAATTTCCATTCAGTAGGGGGCCAATAGACAGGAAAATATTCCAGACTCGCAGCAAGTAGCTCAATACACTCAGCATCCGAGTGTGACAAAATGAAGTGATTTTCGAAAAATTACTTTGGGAATAGCCAGCTTATTCGTAAGACCTAAATCACTGTGGCAGCTGACCACTTGCCCATCTACCAGCCAGACAAGTTAAATACATACCCGCTACCGTTGGCCTGACTGCACCGGGACATAATACGCATGCGGGTGTACCACTGTGTCAAGGTAGCAGACTGAGACCACAGTCCAGACAACGAGCAACTTAAAATTTTCAGCCTCACCTTTCGCATCCCGTGATGGGAAATTTTGGTAATGATGTGCTGAAGAAATCAGGGGCACTGTACCTGGTGCTAAAGATCACAAGGCGGAACGC